AGGGTTTAGACATGTCAATTTTTCGTTTTCAACGATAAAAAAGATTGGGGACTTAAATCAAGTCCCCAATGTTTTTTATGTCCCCATTTTACGACTTGCGTATCTGTAGCAGGTCCCCAGTATGGGGGAGCCACACACACACCCTCACACACACACACACACACACACACACACACACACACACACAAGATATCATTTTTTTCTGTGGAAAGAATAATCTTTTATGTTCTTAAAAAATTTCGGTTTATTCATGAAAGTCAATCAAAAGTCAATCAATATCCATAAAACAATACAAATCAGAAGCAGAGCAAACACGGACCTCTAAACATCAGAGATTGGATCAGGTGAAAGGAAGATGGTACAAAATCCCATTATGCCTTTGGTAGTGATATTCATCAATGTCCTCGGGTCATCCCTACGGATGGGAATGTTAAGGCTTTCTGTATAAGGGTACAAAGACCTAAGACATGTGTATAAGGTCACCCGGAATACTTTAAGGGATTGGAATTAATTAGAATATACCTTATTTTCTTACCTTTAGATGACACACTTTTTATAGAATTACCCTCGTCATTGAAGTTTTTGCATTTTAATAAAGAAAATGCTTCATATTTATATTTCGTATGTTGGTATTACATTGTTGTTTTTTTCTTTTGGGAAACATAGTTTAATTAATAATTTTTTTCATTTCATGTTGAAACAGGGAAGGCCAAACTGCCCATCAGGATATCATTGTAATCATTTTGCTGGTGTGTGTGAACGGAGTACGTAATTATACATTATTTGAAGTTTATGTCTTCTTACAGATTAAGGTATTCAATCCCCAATAGGAACAAATTCATTGAAATTAAATACATAACAGATATGCTGGCATTGAATACTCAGTTTATTTAGACATGCTTCCCATATATTACTATTAGTATGTATCGTGGGATGTGCCCTAATTTATGATTTTGAATTTTGGTAAGAGTTATCTCCCCTATTTTTTAAATAATAAAAAAAAGCAATCAAAAAAAAAATTAGCTGGTAAAACAATTGTTTTAAATTGTCATTCTATTTTCAATGTTTCAATGTATTTTTCCACCGCAGGATTTTTTGATATTAAAATTTTTAGAATTTTTATTTTAAAAAAACCGCTTTTCCCCATAGACTTCAATGTAATCTTTGTTAATTAACTACTGCTTAATTAATGACATTTTTGAAACTTTCTCGCGGTCAATCCTTTTCTGCTATAAAATGATTTAATATAATATCAGAGCATTATTTACTTGACGGATATTTAAGGGTAGAGAATTTGGTCCCATTAGGGATGGAAATCCGTAAGATGTTATTAGTATCTATTTTCTTTTAACTAGAAATCATTTATATACTTTTAATCATTTTTATTTAAATCATATACACTGATTATTTTGCTTTCAATTCCTAGTTGTTACCCCATACAATTTTGACAATAAAACTTTAACTGTTTTAAAAAAAGTTCCTATGACCTCTTCATGTAAGAGCATATGATATTATGTTCCCTGGTTAAAGGAAACGAAAACATTAAATGAGATCTTTTCTTACCTGTTCGTCTATTTGGATAAAAAACTTTTACCTTGTTCATAACTTTTAGAATACAGGACATAGGTATTTCATTTTTAACATATACATTATTTGGGACAGGTTCTGTTTATTTTATTTTTCCTCGTGACAATGACCTTGAAATTTTACCTTGTACAAAATTAATCAAGAAAATTAAATGACTTGCTATTTTAATTTGTAATAGAGCATTAAAATGAGTTAATAAATTCTAGTTTTTCCTTAGTTAAATCCCACAAAGCAAGGTATAAACATAGAATTAAATCGGAGGAATTACGGAATGGTCCTACATTCACAGCACCTTAACTGGGATATTTGAAAACTTCCCACATTAAAAATATTATGTTGTGTACATCTACACCCGTCTAAATATTATGGGCTTGAATAAATTTAACTGATGTCCAATTTACTAAAAAATTATTAATAAATAGATAATTAATTGACATTGGAAAATGAGTTAACATATCTGTGTATCATGCACTATTAAAATTTCTAAAGGACCTCAACATAGTCGTTATGTTCAAAAATCAAATAACAGCCACAGAAAGTGACAAGTTTAAATAAAAATGATGTTGTGAATATGTAGCCATAGTTACATCTGTCCGATCTGAATTAGTTTCTATTCAAATAATCCTATTTAAGCATATATTAATCATTTATTTGCATTGTGCACCTTAATATTTTTTTTCAAACGTCAATACAAAAGTTTATCTTGCAACATTATGTCATTCATCCCTTAGGTTCAGATAATGTACAAACATATATTTAGAATATTATTAGAAATAAAAGAGATGCATTCTTATTTTTTATGATAAACAGACCCAGTGGAAGATAACGGATATTGTACAAGCGTGAGTATAAATTATCTTTCTTGTTGATATTTTTTATCCTTCAATTTCAAATTTAATACCTTTAATATATATATTTTTTTATTTTGAATGATGTTACGTATCTTTGAAATATTAAACAATGAAGCACATAAAAATACTAAATATTTTTATCATTTGATATTTATAGGCTGCTGACTGTCCTCGAGGACACATTTGTGTGTTTGGTACTTGTATAAGATGTAAGTAATCATACCTTTATCATGGATAAAGTTCCAATGCATCATGATCGTTTTCCCATGTCAAGAGTTCACTTTGCTCCAGGGATAGACTGAAATTGGCGTGGGAAAAAATGCGCAATCTGATTGGTCTCATGCAAGTTTGCATGAGCCAATAAAAGAACTTTTTCTAACATGAAACAGAATTGTAAACAGACAAACATGCCCTTTTACAATTAATTAACTAAGCTGTCTCAGATTTTGAGCTAAAGTTTTGAGAATTTTATAGTTCCAATATTCATTATCATATTACATTTTCTATCAAACATAGCCCCGTGGGGATCCTGATTAGAATAGTCCTCAGTACCCCATTGCTTGTCGTAAAAGGCGACTAAATGGGACGGTCCTTCGGATGAGACCGTATAAACCGAGGCCCCGTGTCACAGCAGGTGTGGCACGATAAAGATCCCTCCCTGCTCAAAGGACGTAAGTGCCGAGCATAGGCCTAAATTTGCAGCCCTTCACCGGCAATGGTGACTTCTCCATATCCGTGAAATATTCTAGAGAGGGACGTTAAACAGTATACAATCACAATCATAATCTATCAAACATAAGCAGGGAAAAGTCAGGAGAGTTCAAAAGGTTAAGTTTCACTAGATGACGCGATAAAAAACAGCGTCAAAGGCACTTTGTTTGTCCAAGAGTAGCAATAAAGGAGCAAAATGGTTAAGAAACCTTTGACCTGAACGATGCAATGTATGAATAGATGTTTTTATACCCGTATCCCAGGTATTTGTTAAAGAAATACAGCATCAAATTAGTAGTTAATTTAGCAAAAGTTTGCACGGTTTTTGTTCCATATTATTTTAAACTCCGTCTTTCTGATTCTGAAGAATAGCAATGTGGTAGCTTTTATTTTCTATTTCAAAGCATTTCATGTAACTTCGATACAATTTTACATATAATTTGCTTTTATATTATGTTTTTATGCTCTAGTGATTGGTTAAAAGGCTCATTCATAAAGAAACCATAGAATGCCATTGATGAAGTTGAAAGTAATCGATCTGGATTTGTTAAGTGACAAAAGAAAAACATGGATTATAAGAATGTTGAGAATAACAAATGAATAAAAGTTTATTATCAAAATAGTTTTCTTTATAATTCATTTCATATTCCAGGAGCCACAATATACATATTAGTCCAAGTAAGAAATGTTATTCATGTACGTTAAATAGCCACATACTAATAATTTGAGTCGGAATATTTGTGAGAGTTGATCTCGTCATGGATAACAAATAGGGAGTTTGTGATCATGTATCATTTCAAAGAGTGCAGGTCAATCGGATTTTTTCTATAATTAGAAAAACTCAAAACTCGGTCTTTCTGCATTTGTACACACTAACACGTGATACAAAAATAAGATATTTTATAACAACGCATTTCCAAATATATGTATATTCCTATTTTACAACCCCATTTACTTGTACAGGCCTTTTTTTCAAATGAAATCTAGATTTATTTCTATGCATTTCAAATTACAAGTATAAAATTCATAAAGTTTTTCATTCTCCAGACCTCTTTTCATATCTTTTTATGTTTTGTGTTTTTCCTTTTCGTCAAATTATACCACTGCATTTGCTTAAGTGAAATGCGGAAAGAAAAGATGCATTAAATGTAAAGTGGAGGGCATATTTTTTAAGATAAACAAAAGACGGTAAGCTCTCCAGCCTTAAAAACCTACTTTTAAAAAATTAAGAAAACGCGGACATGCTGTTGATATATGTTTCCTTCTTTAGAAGTTACATATAAGAGAACTAATAACAATAAATACAGACGGCACGACGAGGACAATCACATGGTTTTCTTTTACCATGATAGTATTTTTCTTATAAAGGGGTGTCATTTCAAGAATACAATGATTCCTTCGTTAATGTTGAAATTAAGGCTGAAAATTTTAATGAAATTACTTTATTTCAGCTATGGTTGCAACCATGAATACCACATTTACGAAGACATTTCATGCTTATGTTTATATCTTTAAAAAGAAACGTACGAAGTAGGTTTAGTGGGCAAAATAATGTACAATGTATTATGATCTTTACAGCAAAGCATATTCAATCGATTTAATTTATGGACAAAACGAGCAGTATTAGAGCTCAAAAGTCCATTAAACAATACAATATAGAAGCAGAGCAAACACGGACCTCCAAAACATCAGAAGTGGAATTTGGTGCCATGGAGGAGTGAGCATCCCCTGTCGACCTGTCACCCCCACAAGCATCTGCTCGATCATACACTTTTAAATCAACGAACCATGTACAATTTTTCAATGTTCAAAACTTAATTTTCACAAAGATGGCTAAATGACACAATTTAACGTCTGTTACAACGCACTTTGAAAAATTACGCACTTTTGAAAAAATTTTTCAAAGTGCGTTAAAATTTGGGACCAAGCTAACGCACTTTGAAAAAAATAATTTTATTTCAAAGTGCGTTAATATTGACCATATTAATGCACTTTGAAAAAAATGTAAAGATTGATCAATATTCCTTCAAATAATCGGTATGATAAAAAACAGATCCTGGTTTGATAACTTTTTTTATGATAAGTTACTGTAGGATCTGGGATATTAACGTTTTAAATATTTAAGGTTTTGATAAAATAAAAGGGAAAATTAAAGGGTCTTGAAAAAAAGAGTGACGATTGTTTAAGTTCAATAATTCGTTTCTTCTTTTTTTTTTTTAATTCTAGTCTTTGATAAGTAGATGTAAAGGTGTATAGGGGGCACTAACAGAGGACAGCTTCAGGCAACTTAGCGTACCCTTTTTAGGTTTATTGCTCCCCTCCCCTGTTTGTTACCGACACTTATGTATTGGAATGATAAAGATATGGACTGAGGGATCTTATACCCGTCTTCTCCTCTTTTCGACGGGAGTAAATCAATTCATTTTTGAGGGTAGGGTTAGGCTTAGTTTTTTGAAAGATAGTTTGAAAAATTTTTTCAAAGTGCGTTGAGTTGGTCCAAATTTTAACGCACTTTGAAAAATTTTTTCAAAGTGCGTTGCCACAAACGTCTGATCTGAGATCTAATAATAATTCATCCACTCAGAAATCAGTTTACGCCATGAACATTACATGTACTAATGTAATTATTTTCTTAAAACTGAAACATTTACAGATTTGTTTTGAACAATATATTATCAGATTGAGTTTGGCTCATAGCCGATCCAACACTCTGAATACAATTTGCACCTCACTTTTACACTGATATATCTTCATTTGAATTTAAATTTTTTTTTCCATATTTAATTCTAATTTGATTATCTGTATGCATATTTCGTAGGAGAAGTTCATTTCTTGATCAAAGTTTGGCTAATATTTTCTTTTCTGTTTCCAGATCCAAATATCACTGTTTTTGTGCCTCTTTTGGTTCAATAGATCTCAATTCTGCCATATTTTCTCTAGATCAGAGGCATATTTACAAACAAACTTTAATATTTTTTTCTCTACCTTACTCCCCTTCCAAGTTCTTCAAATCTAAGACCGTTTAGGAAGAACATCAAAATTGCAATAAATTTTTAGATTATTAAAAAAAAGTTTATTTAATTGCAATCATTCAGAGTTAATCATTAGGAAATTCGATTTGAACCCGGGACAAATGGCATGCCCGTCCAATGGTCTTCCCATTGAAAGTGCTTTAACCCATAGTTCAAGCTAATAGGATTGCAATGTTGTCTCTCTCTAGAGAAAGATATATGCTCATCTCTTTTTGGGGTGACTTTTGATCAAAGTATTAGGAGCAAGCATTTTCCTCTCCCAGAGTGTACCCATGCCCTACTGTGTGCGTCAAATAAAACATAGCAGGCGCGGATCTAGAATTTTTTGAAAGTTGGGGTGGGGGTTCAAACCCAGTCCAAATGGAATGGAATATAAAGCAAAATAAATGGTTCACGGCGATAAATATTTGCGAATGATATTACTATACTTAATTCATTTGTTTCTTTTTACATTTGTAAATAAGTAATCGATAAATAAAACTTCGATGTATTATTTTTGCTTTCATTGTCATTTCAGAGTCTAAATTGTAGAACAAACGATATAACTTCAATCTTCCCATCGTTATCTTTCTTATTTACGAAGTAATATGCCCCCTAATATGACCTCTATATGTATTTAAATCTCCCAAGAGCATGCTCTGAGTATAGTAAGTTTTTAAACCAAGGAGACTACCGACATATAAGTTTGACGTTGCATGGATTTCAACTCGTTTAAATTCAACACTTTATAAATTCTATGGTCGCTATCATGACCTTGTTAGAAATATACTGTAAACGTATTACATTTGGCTGTATATTCTTTTTAGCGGCTTTGGCGGAACGCAGCAACCGCTAATTCAAATACAACGCTCACACATATACACTTAAATAAGGAGAGAAAGAAATGAAATCTACGCTAACTTATTCAAAAATCAATTTCCGCAAAATATCGTACACGCTAAATATAATACATTTACAGTAACTTATTAATGGGCCGTATTTTGACTGAATTGTTTTTTACCAATCGTTAGGTCTTTGCTTTTTCTGAATTTGACTACGATTTGTCTACCCGATCAATGCAAAGAGCTCCCGGCGGGTCAACAGGGGTGTGTTCTTCTCCTAGGCACCCTGATTCCATCTCTGGGATTTCCGGGGGTCATTATTTTCTCCCCCTTGCATATTTGAATTGTTTAAATATTTTGTTTAGATCGCCAACTTTCCATTTCTTTTTGTACATTGGATACCCCATACACAACAAAAACTTCCTGTTAGGTTAAGGAAGAAGTAAAGTACAGTTTGAGATGATTTCTTTGAATGTTATGACTTGGGCATATTCCTATTCAGAATAAAGATAAAAACTAAAGGAACTGAATCTTTCATTGAATGAGGAATGACTATTAAAAGAAGAAAATATTGACTTAAGGACAGATGATACAGACAAATTTTAATAAAAATTTATGAAAATTACATTTGAGTCATGTTTAAAT